TTTTTTTTTTTTTTTTTTTGGTGGTTTGGGTTCTGTAGTTTCCGCATCAGAGTGTTGCTCTTTTAAGACTGCTAAAAGCATGCTCCACACCTCGTCCCTCTCAGATTTTGGATGGCACTTCAGATTCTTAAACCTTGGGTCGAGTGCTGTAGCTATTTTTAGAAATCTCACTTCGATACCTTCTTTGCATTTTGTCAAATCTGCTGTACAAGTGTTCTTAAAACGAACATGTGCTGGGTCATCATCTGAGACTGCTATAACATGAAATCTATGCAGAATGCAGGTAAAACAGAGCAGGAGACATACTATTCTCCCCCCAAGGAGTACAGTCACAAATGTAATTAATTCATAATTTTTTTAAAGAGCATGGAAGCATGTCCTCTGGAATGGTGGCTGAAGCATGGAAGGGGCATACCTTGCAATGCCGGCTACAAAAGTGCCATGCGAACGCCTGTTCTCGCTTTCAGGTGACATTGTAAATAAGAAGCAGGCAGCAGTATCTCCCATCAGTGTAAACAAACTTGTTTGTCTTAGCGATTGGCAGAAAAAGAAGTAGGATTGAGTGGACCTGTAGGCTCTAAAGTTTTACACTGTTTTGTTTTAGAGTGCGGTTATGTAACCAAAAAAAATCTGCATTTGTAAGTTACAGTTTCACGATAAAGAGATTGCACTTCAGTACTTGTATGAGGTAAATTGAAAAATACTATTTCTTTTATAATTTGTACAGTGCATATATTTGTAATCAAAAATACTATAAAGTGAGCACTGTGCACTTTGTATTCTGTGTTGTAATTGAAATCAATATTGAAAATGTAAAAAAAATCCAAAAATATTTAATAAATTTAAATTGGTATTCTATTGGTATAAGTGCAATTAATCACAATTAATTTTTTTTTAGTTAATCGCATGAGTTAACTGCGATTGACAGCCCTACTTGGTATCACTATGATAGCTTGAACATAAGGCGGAAGTAACTCTTCTCCCCTCTGTCTCTCAGTTGAGTTTGCGTGGGTGATTCCTGAGAGCATTGCAGGCTGGAAGTGCAACCTCCTGCCATGGTGAAGATCTTCGTGGGAGGAGTCTCCCCTTCTGTCACAGTGGATGAGCTGAAGAAGCTCTTTGAGCAGTATGGACAGGTGAACGAGTGCGACATCCTGAAGAACTTTGCCTTTGTGCACATGGAGAAGGAGGACGAGGCCCACAAGGCCATCAGCGAGCTGCACAAGCAGGAGTTCTACGGAGCCCACCTGACGGTAGAGTACGCCACCTCCAAGATCCGTAACGCCACCAAGATCTATGTGGGCAATGTCTCCAGCAAGGCCACCACAGCCCAGATCAAGGAGCTCTTTGAGAAGTTTGGCAAGGTGGTGGAGTGTGACATTGTCAAGAACTACGCCTTTGTCCACATGGCCAAGGAGAGGGAAGCCATGGACGCCATCTTGAACCTCAACGACATGCCTCTGGAGGACCAGAAGATCTTTGTAACACTGTCCAAGAGCAACAACTCGCTCAAGACAACCAAGGGGACCTCTGTGCCACCTCCACCACCTGCACTGCCCAGTTACTACTTCCCCAGGGGGCGCATCCCCCCGCCACCGCCTCCATACACCCCATATGCACCCCGATCTTGGTATGACCGGGAATATTATGACCGCTATGCTTATGAGCTCTACGACCGGGCGATGACTGCCAGGACAGCATACGAGAGGGTCCTGCCACCTCCGCCCTCTACCCCCACCGCCTACAGAGAGAGGAGCCCTGTGGGCAGGCGGACGACCGCTGCGGTGGCCCAGTATACTGATCCCTATGCTGCCGCGGCTGCCGCCCAGACATACAGTCAAGTGTACAACCAAACGGGTTATGCAGCAGTGGCGGCTGCAGCCGCAGCAGCAGCTACCTACTCCCAGTACAGCATGGGTGCCACCTACAGTGCAGGAGAGTACTATGAGAAATACAGCAACAGCTATGCCACTCAATATGCCCAGACGTACTAATCTTACTGTGCTCATAGTAGTAAGTGACCAGAGATCTTAGCTTCGGTGGGAGGCAGAGGCATGGGGTGGAGAGTAACTAGCCCTAGAACTCCTTATTGGCACAGTTTTTTATGGGGTAAGGGAGTGCCACTCCTCCCTAAAGTAGCTCTCTGATGCCATCCACAGTGGATGGAGGTTACCATGCCTCCTGAAAGGCAGTAAATAGGCTCCTATGAACTAGACAACCTTTTATGTGTGTGTGTGTTTATATATATAAATATATATAAAAATATATATAAAGATAGCCTTGATTTCCTTTGAAGGTCAAGTAGCGCTGGCGAGAAGTGAGTTTGCCTCCCTCCCTCCCCGTTAAGAAATTAACCTGCTTTCTTTTTCCTTCAGTCGTCTCATGCTCCCACTTTCCAAGGTTTGTTAGGTTGCATCTTTTCTCTACCTTCCTCCCTCATCCCCTTTCCCTCCTGGTTTCCTTTCCTTACGTTCTGTTTTGGTTTGGTTCAGTCGCTAAAAAAATAATCCCAGTTTCGAAGATCAGTCGCCCGACGAACTGGCCCCCTGCAAGCCTGCACTGACAGCCAAGGTGATTCTGCTCGTAATTCAGAGCAGATCCTTTCTTGATTCCCCTCCCCTCTCATCAGTTTTAACCGTTGTAACTTGCAGTGCTCTTTTTCTTTTTGCTGGCTAATTCCTTGGCGCGGTCTTCCCGTGCTGTGCATGCGGAGCGGAGTTTTGAAATGTGTGTCTCTAGATCCGTAGCTAGGACCAGATGGGGGGGGAGGGGTGCCTTGTTCTGTTTCTGTACCTCAGTATTATAAAAGGAAGTGGATTTTTTTGGTGCATCCAAAGTCCGTCCGTGTCACGGCTTCTTTTTCCCTTTTTGTTTTTTACATTGATGATTAAACAGCTTGTACAGAACTTCCCGGCGTCTCGTCGTCAAATCAGCTGCTGCGTCGCTTTAACTGTGCCCAAACCTCCGTGCGGCTCTTCTTTCTCTGCCTCTCTCCTCTCTGCCTAGCGAACGGCAAAACTGACACCCCGATTTTGCTTGACCGTATCGCGCTGCCTGTTCCGCCGCGGTTGCCTCAGTTAACGGAGCGACCCTCTTCCCTTCCCATCTCCCTGTGCCCTCCCCACGGCGAGCACCTTGTTAGCAACCCCACAGGCTGCCTGGGTTTCCCTCCTGCCTTCTGGCCACAGCATTCCTCTGCTCTAACTCAGCCAGGGCATCTGTAACTCTGACCTGTTGCAAGCCCCTTATCTGCTATTCCTGTTGTTGAGGCCAACTTCCCCCCTCCCTCCCCCACCCCCATACACATTTGTTTAGACCTCACTTGTCAGGTATCTAACATTTTAACCCTTTCTCCCCCCCCATTGATTTTTTTTCTCCATACACAGCCCGGTGCTCGGAGGCGTAAGGGGGAAAGGGATCTCGGCTGCAAAGGTGCAGGCAGAGCTGATTCAAGACAGCGCAATGCCTTTAACCACCACCCTGCTGAAGGAAGCGTGAAGCCTCCACTACAAGCTTGAGTGAATATACCACTCCCCTTGTCCCCTATCTGCGCTTCTTCCTCTTCTGGTGCTCTCGGGTTAGCTATTTGGCAGTCCAGAGGGCACCCTCTGGTGAGAGCGCAAGGCTAGCAGGACTCATGGGTTCTATTCCCAGCAACTCCCTTCCCCTCCCTGTGCCTCGGTTTCCCCACAGCAGAGATTGCGTTGAAATCTTTGGGTAAGCACTGAATGTGCAAAGAGATCTTGGTTTCTTGCTGGGGATGCTGCCTCCACCCATCTAAAGCGCTCCCCCTCCCCTCCCCTTTATGATGTCCTCTGGCTAGCTCATGTTCCTGCCCTTACTGGGTTTGAAGATCTAGGGACAGACCCACTCCTTAGCACATGCATGTCTCAGCCTGGGGATCGCTTTGGTCATTCCAGATCCCCCTGCATGCATCCGCATAGGGCTAGCACACCCTGCCTCCATTTGCTTTTTAGTAGCTGTCGTCAGTTGCCAGAGACGATGGCATAGGAATCCATTGCGCTGCTGAATAGTCAGCTTGAGCTGCTTTCTCTCCTAGGAGCAGACTCGGGGCAGAACGTGGTCACCCGCTGGGGCCAGGAATTGCACCCCCCATTGGTACAGCATTGGGTAATGCCTTCTCTTGATGTGGGATACAGAACTAGGTGGACCACTGGTGTGTGAGAGAAGTGATAGAGAGACCCTTTCATTCCCCCAGCAGCACGTCTGGGAGGTGAAGGGGGAGCCTCAGAAAAAAACAGCCGACAGGGTAACCGTCTCCCTCTGGCATCTGTCCATGGCAGATTGAGGTAAGGCAGAAAGACCTCCCCAATGAGTGTTTGAGCCTTTGTTTGTTGGAGACGATGCTGCGAGCAGGGGAGTGGGGTACTGGGGGGAATGGTGTAGTGGTTAGAGCAGGGAGAGTCTACCCCAATAGCTTGTAGACAGATCACTTCCCCTGCCTGCTTCAGTTTCCCCATGTGTGACTGAGGGAGCATTTCAGTGCCTGGAGAGCCTCTAATGGAAAGGGCTGTAGAAGCACCATTGCCATTCAGCCCGGGCTCAAAGGTCAGACTCCTTCTATCCCCTGACCATGGGGGTGCGGCGTGATGTGCCCCAAGAACAGAATTTGGAAGAGCCCAGCAGCTCAGGGGAAGCCGCTCTGAGCATCCAATCAGAACGGTCTGGATCTGGCCGTGGGGGAGCATTAGGGAGCAAGTCTTAGTTCCATAAGCATCCAAAGAGGGGGCGCGGTATCTGCTTTCAGCACAGTTCATGGACAGACATTTGTCAGCCTGACTTCTGAGCCATCCTGTTGGGACTATCAAGTCTGCTGACTCCACAGAGTCCTTGGAGCTGGCACCTCTGTGTTTAAATCTGTTCATTTTACGCTGAAGGCCAGCTGTTAACCCAAGCTCCTCCAGGCCAAGGGGAAACCAAAGGGCAGGATGCAAAGCCCCTAGATCCTTTTAGAAACTCAGGCAGGAGGGGCTAGTGAATCTAACTCGCCCATCTATTCTAGATTGACCCTATCCCAAAGAGACCTTACATCAAGGTAACCCCCAGACCAGGAACTCTGTTGGCCTCAGCTGACATGTCAGGGGAAGAGCAGGATTTCTGGAGGACCCACCAAGCATCCTGCTAGCAGAGGTGAAAGATGACTTGAGGGATTCCCCGAAGATCTCCCAGTCTCTTCTCTCTAACCACTGTGAGCCTTAAACACCCAGGGGGAATCCAACCTGAGATGAAGCAGGAGGTAAGCGCTTTTGTCCCCCCTTCCCTTTCACTCGCACTCCAAGAGGAAGGAACAGTGGTGTGCTTCTATCACAGACAGCACAAGATCTGGGTTCTGTTCCCTGGTTCTGGCACTGACCTCAGAGCAAGTCTGTGGATCTCATCTATAAAAGGGGCAAGGGTTGATTCATGTTTGGTTAAGATCTCCACTGGCTGGTGCTGAGTCAAGTAGTGTTAGAAATCCCTGCCACAGAGAGGTTGTGTTCTGAAAGCACGTGCCTCCTGCCTTACTGGGGTAATTTAGTTTAGGTCTTTATATGGTTCCCATAGTGACTTGATCACTGTCTGCAGCTGGGGTGGAGATTTGAGAGTAGAGCAGTCTTTAATCTCACAGACAAAGGCAGAACAAGAGCCAATCGGTGGACGTTGAAGCGAGCCAAATTCAGACTGGAAATAGGGCAAACTTTTAACCCCGAGAGGAATTAGCCAGTGGACATAGAGACGTTGTGGATTCTCCATCGCTTGGAGTCTTTAAGTCAAGACTGGCTGTCTTTCCTAAACCTGCGCTGTAGCTCACACAAATTACAGGCGTGATGCAGGAAAAGGGATTCTCTGACCTACAGTATGCAGGAGGTGAGCATAGATGATCAGAATGGGCCCTTCTGGTCTTAAAAGCAGTGAATCATTTCCGCAGTATGTGAGCGCCTCGGTTTTGAATAGATTTATCTTCCCAACACCTCTGTGAGGCAGGGCAGCACTGTTCTCCCCATTTTACAGATGGGGAAACTGAGGCACAAAGCAACTAAGTGACTTGGCCAAGTTCACACAGGCAGACTGGCAGAGCAGGGACTCAAACCCAGGTCTCCTGACTCCCGGTCCAGCACTTGAGCCTTAAGATCATTCTTCATCTTCTAAGTTATGTAACATTAGGGTTGCCTGCCTGAAGAAATACAGGCCCTTGGCTCTGGTTAGGTGGCCCTACTAGTGCCATGAGCCCAGGCTGAATATAGGGTGAATGCGCCCTAAGGTGAACATACAGATCTAGGGCAGCCGACAGTTCCCAGCTTCAATTCCTTGGCGCTACTGCATCAAAATGTGTGCGCTCTCCTCTTCGTCATCAACCCGAACAGGAAGGGGCAGATTGAGGTAAACCCAGCCCTTTGGCACAGCAGCCCACCCACAACGTGATCTGTGTGTGGAGTGGCCTGGTTGTGACGAGGACTGAAAGGAAGCCTGGAGCTGGGGAGCCTCCAGCTGAAATTCTCTTCTCTTCTTACTCTCTCCTAGAGCAGAGCGGATTGGGCCTTCTCTCTGTCTCTCTCTCTCTCTCTCTCTCCCTCCCAGCCCAACTCCACCATCCCTTGTTCTGCGAAAGCAGCGAGCTCCGTCCCCGCCACAGTGCTCTGGATGCTGTCGGAAGGCTCCCTGCTCGGTGAGATTCTCCACACCTCCTGGCTGCTGGGTAACGGGCGACAGGGAAGCAAACAGCCTTGGCCCCGCTCTGCCCTCTGGCTGGGGAGAGCTCATGGAGCTAGGAGCTGGGAGAGGTCTTTCCCTGCGATCATGATTGGTGCTTGGGGTGGGATTGATCTTTCAAGGTGTTGAGAACTCATCCCCTGGTGGGCGGGATGCCGGCTTGTAGGGCTGGCTTGGTTTGCATCACGGGCAGCTTTCTCCATCTAGGGGTGTTGGGACAGGAGGGAATTCTCTGGTTTAAAGACCCAGGTTGTCCCCATTTCCTCCTGGATGATATGACTCGTCCTGCAGCCTTTGGTTTGGGTGTGACTGGTGGGGGCAGCTTTGCATCTTCGCTCTGTACCAAGGCAATGCAGATTTGGCTGGGCCTCTTCTCTGCCTCAGAAAGATCTCTGAACCGCTGCTTCTGGATGGGAGTCACCTTGCTTCCTTGTCTAACCCGGGGCCTTGACCAACACCACACCTTCCACAGCTTCCCTCCTTGATCCCTGCCCCCTGACGTGGGGGGTCCCGCAACAGAGATGGGGCCAGCAGAGCTCGTGTGCGGGACGAGAACGGAGGCATCTCTACCACCGGGTACCTCCAGCAATAGTCTCGACTCCCTGTTAATTGCAATTGGCTCCAGCAGAGAAGGATGGAGTGCGGGGACTGCAGGCTCCTCTGCATTGGATGAGCATGGTGAGCTGCTCCTGAGGTTGGTAGGTGTGTGTGTGGAGGCCAAGGGCAGGGGTAGAAGCCTAGGGCTCGGTGCTTTGTGGGTTGGAATAGTGGAATACATTACTTTCCTAGGGGACTCTGAGCAGCAGTAACTATAAAGCCTCTCTCATTCAGAGATCTGGGTTAAACTTGACCACAGGAGCTACATGAGATGGGTTGTGTTTGTTTTGCGGCTCCCCAGTGGACTAAACCACCCCCCAAGCGGGCTAGATTGGCAGTGTCAGCTCAGGAGAAGCCCAGGAATGAACTGGTGGAGGTGGAGGGTGTTGCTAGAGGACATAATTGGGGGCCATTGGCTGCTGTGTGTGAGAGGAGTCCGGGGGTGGGATAGCAGGGGGGCTGTTGTGGGTATTGAGGGGGATCAGCAGAGTTGGAAGAGGAAGCCAGGGGACTGTGGGTCAGGATTGAGAGGGACCTTGACAGAACTGTGTAGTGGGGGAGTCGGGTTGGAATAGCTGGACAGCTGTGGGTTGGGATTAAGGAACATTGGCAGAGCGTGGTGGTGGGGGGTGTGAAGCAGAGCCCAGCCTGGGATAGCATGAGGGCTGCGGGCCAGAATTGAGGGGCATCAGCAGAGCTGTGTGTGGACCCAGAACTGGATTGCCTGCTAATTCTGTGCAGCTGGTGCTAAGCTGCCGTGACATTTTGCATTGGAACTCCGTCAGCACTAGGGGCAGCCCCCTCTGCAGAACCCTAGCATCTCTGAGAGCAGTTGGCTTCTGCTGTATCAGTGACCATTGGCTACCTGGCTCCAGCCCTTATCCAAGGTCCAAACTGCGCTTGAGTGAAATGTGCCGCCCTGGCATAGGGCTCTGGGATTGGTGGGTGTCATCTAGTACAGCATCACAAGGGTAGGGGCTGTAGGGGCAAGGCTTGGGACTAATAAACATCCTTGTTTAAGCAGCATTTGGGCTGGCGGCTGATTATTTCGTGTCTGCCTCGGTCTGTGGTTCCCTTCCTGTCACTGAAGAGGGCCTACTGGCTTTGCTAATGGGCTCCTCTTTGAGCAGTCACAGACCCTGAAATCTTCCTCCCAGCTGATCTCATGCTGCAGGAGTGCCATCCCTCACCTCCCTCTCTTCTCTGTCCACAGAGCTGCTTCTGTGGTGGGACAGTGGCCCAGTGGTGAGGGTGCTTGGGAGACGTGGGTTTAATTCCCAGCTCTACCACAGACTTCTGGCGTGACCTTGGGCAGGCCACTCAGTCTCGGTTTTCACCATCTGTACAATGGGGATAATAGCTCGGCACTGCCTCATGATGGGGAGGGAGGAAAAGAGTTGAGACTTCAAGGCGCCCAAATGATGGCAATCCTTGTCTCTTATCAGCAGCTCTCAGAGCACTTTACAAATCAGGTCAGAATCGTGACCCCCATTCAGGGGGACTCTGAAGCACAGAGGGGAAATGTGACTTGCCCAAGGTCACCCAGCAGGTCAGTGGCAGAGCCCCCACTCTCCTGAGTCCTAGTCCAGTGCATGATCCCCTAGGCCACACAGGCTCTCCTAATGGGGACCAGATAAGTACCTTACATGGTCAGAAGTACAGAACAGCTGGTGTTACAGGGCCACCTACCCCGGAGCAAGGAGAAGGGGAATCCTATGTAATGGGAAAGGCTACTTCTATAGCTAGACTGACTCTGCCTTCCACTTCTTCCAGTAGCCTTTGCTTCCTTCCCCTGGAAACATGGAGCACATCCCAGGCTATGGGCATGGTCGTAGGATGGGGATCTTCCACTAATTACCTTCCCTACTCCTCATTTTGTCTTCAGTGGACCTCCAGCTCCTTAGTAGAGCCCGACAGCAGGACACCTTCCCAGCACTGAGCTGAGACATGTGTACTGTTTAGGGGAGAAGACAGGATAGCCCTGGTGGAATAAAACCAGTCGGGGGAAGGGGTGTTCTCACATCAAACCGCTACAGCCAGGTTCTCACACCATGGCTCCTTTGCCCCCCTCTCGTAATGGGACCATGTAGTGGGTGTAAATTACACCGCTAAAGCAGGGTAAAAAGGGGCCTTAGGCCTAGATCCTCAAAGGTATTTCAGCTCCTAACTTGCATTGAAAGTAAGGGAAGGAAGCTAAATACCTGGGAGGATTGGGCCTTGGACAGGGCCTAACCTGAAACTCGGAGTACACCTCAGACTCTCAGAGTGGGGAGATCTGACTTAGGGGTGGCTTATCTGTGACCTGTTGCTTTGCAAAGAGCTGTAACTCTCCAGTGCTTGTTTGAGTGTGTCTGTGGCTAAGAACTCTCTTTGCTAAGCCGGTGTTCCTTTCACGTTGCCCTTTAAACTAGAAGCCAGAGGCCCCTGCAGCCAGGTGGAGTGGGAGGGGGTGTAAGCAGCTGGGTGGTTTGGGATAGCTGCGGCACTGCTTTTGGGGCCTAGGGTGGCCAGGGTGCAGTGCCCCACAACCTACCAAAGGGCTCGGACAAGAGGTCTGCACCTGGGCGGCCACCCTACAGACCCAGAAACAGGGACTAGAACCCAGGGGGGTTAGAAGCTTCTGGGACCCAGGATTGGGTCCGCTTCCAACAAACTGGAGAAAAGAGGACTGGGCTTGGCCTAGTTAAAGCAGTACAACACCCCACCCCTCTGGCTGGACATAGTGATCGGGATATAAAGGTGCTGAGCTATTCCCCTACAGGAAGGGGAATAAGCTATTGCAGTCTAAGGCACCTTTCTACCACTATAACTGCCCACAGTAGGGCTTGTCGTATATTTGTCCGTTAACCTCCCCCTCCCCCAGCTGACAGTCATACTGGAACCAACTCTGAAGCCAACAAAGAAAAGGCACTTCCTAGCTGACTAAAGAGAAATAGCTTCTCCCAAATGATTAATAGTGATTAACAGGGCCGGCTCTAGGATTTTTGCCGCCCAAAGCAAAAACAATTTTGGCTGCCCCCCTCCCC